GGTCAGAGGACCATACTGCTCCAGCTATTTTCAAACAACTCCAAAAGCCTATCGCATAACATCAGTTTCACTAGCACCTGAATTGAAGTCCTGGGAAGCTGGAGTGCAGAAAGAAGCAAGCTATTAGACTAATAAATAAGCCTAATGAGCCACCCCAACATCTACATCCCAGTACGCATTTGTTCTTCTTTTCCTCATCGCCAAAGTAGAAAGAAGAAAAGCCATCAGTTCTTCATACACATTTTAGTTTCCTGATCCCCAACAGTTCTGATTTTGCCTCAGCTTTCTTCATTCCAATGATACTGCAAAATTCCACCTCTGTGTTGCTATCCACGTCACCTGGTTTCTGTTCCATTTGCTTTTGAGAGAATTATCATTGGAGTCACTCAAGTTTTGCATATGCTCAAACCAATACTCTCTTTGTTATAGGAAAAACCCAGGAATTTCATGTGTAAGGAATTTGTGATTGAAGCTTAAACGGAATTAGTGGAATTTCAAAGTATAGCGAAGTTAAAGTTAGTACAAGAGGCAAAGTCCCCAGTTTCTTCTTTGAGTGCTCCATCTTCTTCATTCAACCAAAGGTACGTAGTGCGTACACCCTTCATGGATCCCTAAATACCACCAGCCTTTAGTTTCTAAGTATGTGGAAATTTATCTAAACATTTCATTTTCAAGCAGCTTATCTGGCATAGAATCATCACATTCAGAGTTAAAAGATTATACAAAATGAAATCCATAGAAAACGCAAAAAAAAAAAGACAGTTTAAGAAACGTGAATCATGTCTCTTACCTGGGGATATCATTAAAATAACTAAAGTATAAAAAATGTAAATTATATCAATCAGTAGAGTCAGCAGAATAATGACAGCATCTAAGGAGTTAAGTAAATCAGAGAAATATCGTTGCATCCTATAATGTAAAACAAAAAATCAAGTTTATGCTCCCCCAAAGAAGAGACAGGGAAATTTTAAAAGCAAGAATTATTTGACTCATCTCCATTAACAATTCTATTTTAATGAATTATCTAAAATGCATTTACTAGACTAGACAGAAAAGTATTCATATTCATTATTTTATACATATATATGACAAAAGCATAAATATTGCAGTTTAAGTTCAGTTAAGAGATATAACCACCATCAAACAAGAGGCAAGCAATGCTTCACATAGGTGTGGGAGAAAGGTGGGATGTTGGAGAGTACTATGGACAGTGGAAGCTGAACATGTCACAGCCTTAGAGCAACTGCGGCTGTTGAGGAGGGCAGAAGAGGAGCTTGTGAGAGGCAGACAGGTCGCACTATTATTGGCCTGCGAACTCATCATCTGGCTTTGACCTAGAGTGGAATCCCAATGGGCTTGGATATGGCCTCCCCTGCAAAAGCTTGAACTTGCACCACAGCTGCACCTTCTCCCACGCTGGCTCCTTCAGCTGTGGGCAACTGGTGATCCGCCGGGGAAAGGTTCTAGGGTAGCTTCCACTTCTAGGGTAGCCCTTTCAGGCTCTGAGTAACCCGGGAGTGGGCAACTGTCCTTAGCTCAAAGCATGAGGGTAGAGTTCAGGAGGAGAGGAATCAAGCTGCCTTCTGAAAGGCTCTGGATGAAGTGAGGCCAGGGAACTTAGTCTCTGACTTCCACAGCAGTCCAGCTCTAAGGCTTGGCTTACTCCATCCACCTTCTCAGAAAGCCAGCAGCGGAGAAAATCAACTGCTGCCTCACTACTAAGCCTCGCTGACAGGATGAGCATGCCTCAGATCTCCTGTGTACCTTAACAAAAGTTTTTATTTTAACTGAGGTAGGGATTGTTCATGATCTATTTTCTAGTATTTAATATGCCATCAGATTTTATTTAGATTCAATTCTTAATGAAAGTATTAATATTTATACTTCACATACATGTTCCTCTTAATAATGTGCATGTAGACACATCAGCTGCCTTGTCCCATTTTGCAAACCCATTAAGCTTTACCTGTTGAAGGAACCATCTAGAATACATTATTGGAGACTAGAGTGACAGTTACAACAAAAATATTAAAGCCCAATCTAGTAGAAATTGGGATGTGGATAGTTGTTTCTCTGGTGACCGTGTCTTCGAGGAGAATTATTTTGATAAAGAGGGACAAATTTGGTTGTGTTGACCTGGTAATTACTTTGGGATGCTTCTCATAGCACTACAAAATAGCTTTATATGTTTTTAAAAAATTAATCAAACTTACCCTTCTACACATACTCGAAGAAGAACATCCATTAAAAAAAATAAAGCAATAGCTAAAGAAATTGAACGATATTCCAAAGGAATATACACTTTGCTATCAGAGATGAATTGATCTGCGATGATAAGAGACATGTCCACAAAGACGAGCAAGATTCCAAATATTCTAAAACAAACAAACACATAAATAAACAGAATAAAGATGAATTGGTTTTCACCTCTATAGTTAGACTACATTTAGCCCAGGGATCTGATACTAAAATGTCATTATTTAGGATTAAACTGTCAGTGGCAGGGAGAACTGTGTTGTCTTAGAATTTCAACAAAATTACTCAGTTTTCACCCAATAGAGCATTTAGGAAAATAAAATTCCCACAAAACCACTTCATGTTATCATGCTCCTTTATAATAGACACATCAGACTAACCCTCCAACATAGAACTGTCAAACTGAATTAAAATTACTTATCTCTGCTTGTAAACTCTTCTTAAAATTCAAGAAGTTTATAAGAGGTCTCTACGAATTTCTCATAGTAAATAAAACCTCATTAGTCTTGATAATTATTAAGAATTTAGTAATAAAAACCAAGTGAAAGCATGACTAACATAAGCCCTAAAAAGACCACTTTGACCAGTAAGATTTTTCATCAGTGAGATTTTCAGCAAGTATATGATTACACATTAATGGATGTTTCTAGCATATGCTGGGCACATGAGAAGGACTTCAATTCCAAAAATATATACATGATTGAACTCTAAAGTAACTCCGAAGCCTTTCTCTTACGTATTCTAAACACATTATCCATAAATTGATTACACTATTTGTAGAATCTATGAAGATGAATTAATTAGTCTTCAAAGTACTTTTTTCCAATTGCAACACAAATTAAAATATTATAAATTTAAAAGGAAGCAAGTATATTGCGTGAAGCTGTATGATAGTATGAAATCTTGCCATCATGTGGAGAAGAAGCCTAAATAGAATGCTTTCAGAATTAAGGAGTAATTCGAGACAAATAAGGTATTTAATAAAACACTTTACTTGTAATTGTAGAATTTTAAAGTGCATGCATCATTATTTTTACTTTTCCAGGTAGGAAAAACATACTAATATGTTACCATTAGACTTAGGGGAATGCCGTTTCTTTGCAATTCTTAATGTTCAGGTTAAACTAACCTTCCAAGATAAATTAGATTACATTATATGGGACACGGGGGCTATTTAGTAACATACTGACAGTGGAAATGCTTTTTTCTCCTCCTAGATCCTTTCTCATTAAAACAAAATTCACATTAAATGGATACATATTTAATTACCTCTTTTTTTAGGGTCTCACATACCTGATTATGAAAGATGATACAATTAAGCGTATAACTTTCTTAATCTCTTGGCTGCAAAAAGAAGTAAAAATAAAATTCAAGAGTTTTCAAGTTTATCACAGATTTCTTCTAACATATAATATGAATTTAACCAATAAACAAAGGCCTTTATAAATATAATTTTAAAAGAAAATTCTTCAGAAGTTGCATAACAAGGTGCTTTTTACTAATAACTAAAATTTTCACATTTCTGCTTCATGATTTTTTTTTACTTTCATATGTGGAATATGAATAAAACACCAAACTTTAGATGTCTAGTAACATTTCCTTTGCCTATAAAGCCCCAACCCCACCTTTATGGTAATATTAAGCTTGGCGTCATCAACTAAAGCAACATAGCGTGGAGATAGAGGGAGTGATAGGAGAGACCTGTGTTCCAGTTCTCCCATTCATGAGCTGTGGGATCCTGGGCAAGTCATCAAACCTTGGCCAGACCTATTTCCACAGCAATCAAAGAAGGGACTTCAGGCATGGGTAGGGAGCACCCATCTTGTCCTGTAATATTCATCTCTTGAAACAAGACATCCCATGAATATGACAGTTAAACATTAAGAGAGTCACATTTGGAGTTGCAAGTGCTCTTTGGAGGTAATTTAATAAGGAATTTTAATAAGATGCATTTCAAAGGAGAAATAACATACAGACTGGGCTCCTTCCATTAATAGGAGGAGGAAGAGGAGCCTCTTTGATGAACTCCACAGTTACGCCTCATTTTATCCTATGGCTAAAGACAAGGTAGCCACTGGGGTGCAGTTTCATGCCCTGCTGAAGCTTCCAACACAGGACACAAATTCCACTCCAAGTGGGATCAAGCCCAAGGCAGTGCTCATAGCCTGTGCCCAAGACTGAAGAATGGAGATGATGGATGAAGAACAGAACTAGGGCACCACCAAAATTGGCCACGGATGAATACTCTTAGGCTAACCTGGGATGCAAGAGCTCCCCACTCCCTCTAATCTCTCCCTCCTTTACCTGCACCCACAACCTCTGCCCAGGCTTAGTGAGTTGAGGCTGACATGGATGGGAACTGATTGGCCAAAAGAGGTGAATTTCCCCCTGAGGTTACCATTCTCTTAATACAAGCCCTTTCTCAACCACACAGACTACTGGATCTCCAGATAGCAATGAAATGTTATAATAAATCTGAACTTGCCTGACAAAGTGAACATACAGAACCATGACTGACAGAATCATGGGGCACAAAGGTATGACTTAGGATGGCTTTAGGGCCTCCTATCACTTTCAGTGCCTCACAAAACTACCCCAAGTAAATATGCAATTGAGATTTTTTAAAAACAGTGTGCTATGTAAATGGAACTTCAAACAATATGTTTAGAGTTTGCAGGGAAAGGACTGTGACTCATTGACTCTATATCCAGGAAAAGTACTGTTCATATTTAGGAGCAACAGACAGATACTCTCCAACATGAAGCAACTCAAAGCATAGCAGCCACATACCTTTCCTAAAAACAATTACTCGAAGTGCTCAAGCCAACTGAGCAATGATCAAAAGGAAGAATGCAGGAGTAAGAAAGATACCTTATAGAGACAAGGTTAAGAAATTAAATCATAACAATTCAGAACTGTCTAAATAATCATTGTTAATGGAGCACATGGAACAAATGATTCTAAAAACAAAGATAATCTAAGATTCTTGATAATACCATGGACTTAAATTTGCAGGTTTTCTCACACAACTTAGGATTTAAGGTTTGTAAGAAGATAGAAGTAAAAGCAAGTCTCATTTCTTCTCTTTCCCAGGTACAAGTCTAGTGTTAACCTGGATACTGATGGAGAAACAAGGGCACAATTATGTTCTCTAAAAATAAGTTTATAACTTTCATATCATTAAAAATTGACAAGAATAAAAACAATGAATTAATAGCAAAATACAGAAAAATTTAAAGATAAAATATGAAGAGAATGTTTAACACAGAAAACAAAGGAAGATGATAGCAAATAAAACCTAAAATACCAGAAATGATAACAAATACAAGCACGTTACTGTCATATTAAATACTGGCAAATACTCTCAGATAAGTTTAAAAACTAAATGCACAATAGCTATATACAAGAGACAAAAACTAAATTAAAATGATAGTTTGAAAATAAAGAGATGGACAAAGATATGAGATGCAAACGTTAAATCTCAAAATATTAAAAGTTGTAATATTAATATCAAAGTTGAATTCAAAGTAAACATATTAACTATGACCAAGACATCTTATATTGATAGAAGGTAGATTCTATAGGACATTAACAAGGCCATGTTGAAAAGAGGTGAGATGTGTATTGGGGTCAGGTCCTGTCTTTCCCATTGGACGCTTACTTCTCTGTACAGATGCTGGAGAAGGCATGTGGCCATACTCAAAGCACTAAGGGCACCAGGGTGATTCTTTGGTCTTCCTGCTCTCACACTAGGGCTCTGGACTTTTCCCCCAAACTATCCACAACACACAAGGCTACATTCCCAGTTTATAGTGTAAACTCTGGTTGAAGAGAGCTGAGTCCGGCTTCAGATCTGATTCCAACCTAAGTTAGCTCATTAGAATTCTCTACCGGGGTTTGGAGAGGAAGCTCCAAAGTAACTAGGAGTGTCTTTTGCCTGGCTTGGTCCACAGGGTATGTACTTCCCTTGGGAGTATTGGTGGCAAAGATAAGATCTGAGTGTCTCTGGCCAAATACTATCTATTCTTAAATATATATATATTGAAATATAGAAACTTCTTGTGCAGCAAACACATACTTAAAGAATTCGTATGAAATATTTGAAGAAACTCATCCTGTAATAAGACATAAAAAACTTCAATGTACTTTAAAATATAAAAATTATGCAGGCTATATTTTCTGACCACAATGTAATAAAACCATTGCAGTGGGAGAATACTGACATACAAGATATTTAATCGCATTTTATCATTACAGAAATTAAAAAGGTGCCATACATGACAACTTAGATTAAATGGAGATATTGCCTGAAAGACATGAACTACTAACATTTGCTCAAGAAAAAATAGATAAGCTGAATAGTCTAAAAGATAATATACCTTTTAAGGAAATTGAACTTGTAGTTTAAAACTTTCCAACAACAAAAACTCCAAGCCCAATTTTTAAGTGAAGAAATAATACCAATTCTAAACAAACTCTTCCAGAAAAGAGGAAAAGAGGACTATTTCCAAACTCATATTAAGAGACCAGCATTACCCTGATTATTCTATCTTTGTTAGACCAGCCAAATCAGTAAAGATGTTACATGACAAGAAAATTACCAACCAACATCCCTCATGAATACAGATGCAAAAATCCTTAACAAAACGTTAGGAAATCGAATCCAGCAACATAAAAAAGAAAATGCATCATGACCAAGTGGTGTTTGTTCCAGGAATTCAAGGATGGTTCAATACTCTAAAATTAATGTAATTCACCATGTCAATAAACAAAGGAAAATAAAACATACAGTCATCTCAATAGATGTAAATTTTTTTTCCAAAAAATTTAAGGTCCATTCATAATAAAAACTTTCAGCAAACTAGGAATAGAAGGGAACTTCCTTAGCCTGACAATGGACATTTACAAAAATCCCATGGCTAATATCATTCCTAATGGTGAAAGACTGAATATTTTCTCCCAATGATTAGCAATCCAGGATGTCAGTTCACTATTCTTCTATTCAAAATTGTATTGGAGGTTCTAGTCAATGCAATAAGGCAAGAAAAGGAAATAAAAGGCGTATAGATTTGAAAGGGAGAAATAAAACTCTATTTGTAGAAGATATGCTTGTCTACCCAGAAAATCCCAAGGAATCTACAAAGAAGCTAATAGAACTAATAAGTGAGTTTAATAAAGTTATCAGATAAAAGGTCAATAAACAAAACAATTATATTTCTATATACTAGCAATGAACTATTGAAAAATGGAAATTTAAGCAACTACACCATTTATATTAACACCAAAACCCACAAAACACTTTGGTGTAAATTAACGAAATATGTGCAGGATCTGTACACTGAAAATTACAAAACATGATTAAAGAAAAAAAGATTTTAAGGTAAGAGATGTACCATGTTCATAGGTTAGAAGACTCAACATTGTTAAGATGTCACTTCTCCTCAAACCAAGCTATAGATTCAATACAATTTCTATTAAAAAATCACAGCACAATTTTTTGTAGATATTGATAACCTGATTCTAAAATTCACATGGAAAGGCAAAGTGATACCACTCCCTGATTTAAAGACTTACTATAAAGTTAAATAATCAAGACAGTGTGGTATAGAAGAAAGAATCGACACATAGAACAGTGGAACAAAATAGAGTCCAGAAATAGACTCTTGTACGTGGTCAACTGATTTTCAACAAAGATGCAACGGCAATTCAACAGAGAAAAAATAGTCTCACAAGAAATTGTAGTAGAATTATTGGACATACATATACAAAAGAACAGTCTTCAACCTATATCACACAACGTACACCAAAACGAACCCAAAATGGATCCATGTACCTAAATGTAAAACCTAAAACTATGAAATTTCTAGAAGAAAACATAGGAGAAAATATTTGTGACCTTGGGTTAGAAAAACATTCTTAGACAGTACACCAAAAATCATAATCATGAAAGAAAAAATTGAATTTTATCAAAATTAAAAATTTCTGCTGTGTAAAAAAATAAACCAAAACAGGGACAAGCTACAGATTGGGAGAAAATATTTGCAAAATATTTATCTGATGAATTTGTATCCAGAACATATAAAGAACTCTCAAAACTCAACAATAAGGAAAAAGAATTTAAAAACAGACAAAAACTTGGATAGACACTTCACCAAAGGAAATAATGGATAGCAAGTAAGCATACGAAAAGATGCTCAACATCATTGGTCATTATGAAAATACAATTTCAAGTCTCAGCGAGATACCTCTACTCACCTATTACAATGTCTTAAAAAACAAAGTGAAACAAAACAGACGGACAATACGAAGTACAGGCAAGGATGCAGAGCAACCAGAACCCTCAT